CAGTGAAAATATACCTATTGTTGTCGATTTGTATCTACGTATTACTTGGTTTACATGAAAAAATTCATAATTGTTTCATATGGAGCCGGATCAGGACAAACTTTATACTAAAATTGTAGACTTCAAAGAGATCAAAAATTTTGTTGTTCACAGATGTTTTATTTGAGATGGTCCATATGTACAAATATTCCATATAAATTCTTGTAGCCATTAAACTATCTCGGATGGAGACAAGTTGTGTAGTGCTCCATAGGATTTACAACTTTACAGTTTATAGTTTTTATTTGAGACTATAAGTTTTAAATATGCAATAATACAAGATCGTAAATGTAAAGTTAATAGAATAATGCCGTTATATAATCAAAAGTTGTTGCATAGCTGATATGGTAATTAAGAACACTATGCGTGAGGCTTGAGGTTCATTGGTTCAGAGTCCTTAGAAGTAGGTTCTAAAAACTGATAGTACGTAATGGCTAGTATTTTGGAACTGGTCCGAAGTGATAGGTATTTGTCCAATGCCTGCCGGTTCTTAAAACTTGTAGTAATTGACCACAGTTTAAAATTGAAAGTGATAGGTACTTTTTTGTAGTAGTGATTAGGCTATCTATAACAGTACATATATACTACTAATATATGCAGGGTCAGGGACGTGTATGATTTTGGGGTTCCGTTGTGGGCTGATACAGAAAGCTAAGGTGGTGGACGTGCATATATAAGGAGCCCAAGCCCAGGTGATATTTGGATTCATATTGCACTATGATTTCAGTCGTCTATAAGAAACGTGCTTCGTTTCTTTGGCAAGAATATATTGTATATTTCGCGTGAGTTGGACTAGTCCTACACTAGTAGATTTGGATATGATTGAAATGATACAAGTGAAAACAACGAATCATTTATACTGTTACAATGCCTTGCGTAAGCGTTAATAAGACGGTCGTCGATTTTTTTTCCCCATGTTTGATATTGCTCCGTTGACTAGCTCAAAACCAAATGACGGCGGCATGCAAACAGCAGTGATATGCATGCATGTTCTCAAGTTGAGTATATATTCTTCCAGCGTAACACACCAACAACATCATCGCAGAACACTAGTAAAATTTATTTCCAGTGCTTGCATTATATATTTATATATGTTTCCGATCGGCAATTATTCGTTGGCTGATCAGCATCAACAGAGACAAGAGCAGCAGAGATATGATCTAGAATGCAGGCCACATGCTGCATCTTACTATGGATGGATCGGAGATACGTAGCAATTAATAATAATATCGTTCGTCAGTTTGTTCCGAAGTTGACGACGGAGCGGTAGGTGTTGCCGGGCTGCCATCCGGCGGGGATGACGTTGCTGGCGACGAGGGTGTTGCCGGAGCCGGAGGTGAGGCGGGGGCCCTGCAGGCTGGAGCCGGACTGGTAGCGCCACACGGCGCCCCAGGAGCGCTCCATGGGCGCCCACGCCGTGCCACACTGCATCTGCAGCTCCACGGCGCCCAGGTCGCCGTCCCCGGACTCGTACTCGATGGCCATGGACAGGTAGTTGGCGTTTGAGCCCGCGTCCACCCTCGAGCTTACATGTTAGCCTTTTAATCTCCTTTACTTACATGCTAGCTTTTTAATCTCCTTCTTTCCTTATGCGTCCACCGTAAATATTTCTAACTAGTCCATCCTCGAGCTTACATGTGAAAGTGTGAAACCTCGCAGTTGAAGTCATCCTACAATTGTACATGTATGCATGCATGTAACGGCCATCTTGTATCGTATTGTATTTGTAGCTGCAGGGATACGACGAAAGCACGCATGCAGCATTTTACAGGGTGTACATGAACGAGATTGACCATGCATGCATATATGCCTCTGAACTGTGTATGCCGGTATATATATACACATCTCTCTCCAAAACGAGATCGACCATGCATGTGTGTGACGTGCGTGTGTGCAAGAATGCTACAGCTAGCTAGCTTGCTGGCTGTTACGTTTCCACCCCCCGAATAATCCCGATCCACAACAGAAAAAAACAACCTCGCGCCTCAAACTGGAACAGAGAGACAGATCAGTACTGCTGCAGCTGCAGGGATCAGCGCCAGTAGACCGCATGCATGCATCAAAAGCCGGTAGCATCTCTGATCGATTTCTTCTCACTTGTCCGCTAGCGCAACAGAAGACACCTTGTTGTGATGCACTAGGCCGGGCACACACGGCTAGTTGTATATACGTTCGTGTCGTGTTCATATATAATCACTTTCTTCATATGATGTGAAACAAAGGAAGCTGCTGCATACGTAGCACAAGTGCCGCCGGTTACAACTAACTCTCTGTAGGTGTGTTGTTATTCAAGTTTTATCCTAAGTGAAATCATGTTTAAGTTTCACCAAGTTTATAAAGAAAATAACCTGAAACCAGATCTAACAGGCACAAAACGTGGTTGCATGGTTTTATTTGTAACCCTGCTAATCATGATATGAAACAGAGCTGGTATGTTTAACTAATGATCTGCATACTTAGGTATGTTAACTATGAAACATAGCTGTCTAATTCTTAGCACAGTATCATAAGAGCTCACCTGTTCCAACTAGAAATGACAGCACTGCGATCATTAGTTATCCATCTTCGATCTGTTTAATTGAATATAGTTGGCTCATACATATTAAAACACATAGTAGTTTCAAGAAAAAAAAAAAAGGTCAATGAAGGATTGTAAACTGAATTTTAAGATACTGTCAAGAAGTTTTCCTCACCGGATTCAGCAGAAGTTCAGGGCTTGTCCTGTGAATAAGAATAAAAACGAAGATGGATTAGTAAGGGCAAAAAGATATATTCACATGAACCTTTAGGAAATTCACAAGTGTTAATTATTAATAGGAGTCGACATGGAATGGGGTATGAATTTATTATAAGCTTAAGCGCAGTTCTTGGTTCTAGAGAAAAAAATAAAGACAGGATATCATCTTAAACAAGCTGACAATAGGCCTGCTTTTCTTTAGCTTTTGCAATCTGCAAGTCAGATATGCAGCTCCATGTTGCTTCTGTATACTTGCATAATAGTAATATAACTATGGTACTGATACTTAGAAAAGAAAACCATTGCCTAAAGTAGGAATTCGTAAAGACTTACAAGCAACCAGCAAATGCTAACACCTTCGGATTTGAACCATGTACAGGAATGAGCCCCTTCACAAGCTTGTCACACACAGATTGTATTCCATTGACAAAACCTCTAGATGATTAATCTTCCGTAGAGCAGGAAGAATCGCCATAGCGTCAACGTTTGTGCAGCTGTAATGCTACGAAGCGGATGTTCGTCCGTGTCGACGGACAGCTCCATGCTCGCTCCCTCTCCCTAGACCAAATGACCAGCAGCCCAACCGGCCACCCCACTTATTCCCTCCCTCTCTCTTACACATGGGCCTGAACGTCAGCTTCTCCTCTTCCTCCAGACGGGAAACGCAGCCGCTGCCTGCTTGTACGAGAGCACGTGTACTGCTTCCTGCACCCGCTCCTCAACCCAGCCCACACCGATTCCTCGCCTCCCACCTCGACAGTATGCCACCGCGCGCGCTGCTCCCCGTTCCTGCACCCCGCCGCGGGGCCGCCATCCATGTCGCTCCTCGCGGGCATCCTCTCCGACCACGACGAGATCGGCGGCTCCCTTCCGGTTGTCATGTGTGGCTAGGCGACTAGGAGAGGGGGCCGTCGCTGGCCTGTCCCAAGCCAGGCGTAGGCGCAGCAGGCCGCTGCCAGGCTATGCCACCATCCTCGGCCACCTGCTAGCTGGAACCGGCCATTCCCCGCTCTGCTCTACGTCGTCCGAAAGAAGAACGATAGGGTGAAAAACACATGTTGCAAACGTATGTTTCGAGTGTTTTAGATGTTTCAGAGGTATGTTGCATGTGTTTCATGTAGACGTTGTAAAAGTAGGTCGGGATGTTACATATGTTTCAATAGTTGGACTCGCATGTTGCAAACTTCTGTTCTCAATGTTTCATCTATTTTTCTAGACGTATGTTGCAAGTGTATTTATTTGAACGTTGCATATGTTTCACATATGTTTTACAATGGTTTTCAAGTGTTTTCAGGTGTTTTGTCTCATCTGTATTCAGACTTATATTGTAAGTGTTGTATCTGGATGTTTCAAAAGTAAATCGGGTGTTGCATCTTTGTCCTCGCTTTCTGCTACCTCGCCTCAGTGTCTCCTCCTTTCCCAGCGCCGGAAGGGCATCTGCTGCCCCCTCCCCCTCTTCTCGATGCTGGTGACGTTTGGGGTGGCGCGGGCCCTGCGTTTGTGCATGAAACGGTGCGGAAAACAGAGTCTGATAGGGCGTTCGGGCGCTAGCAAGCCTGTTCGTGCAGTCATCATATACAGTTCTCTAAGAACTGAATGTAACTTGTTTCCAAGAATATCTATTCCAGATGAAGTGAGAAGAGAACACTCGCACAGATTTAGGGAGCATAACGAAGGTGCAACAGAGATGATTGTGACTAAACCATTATCAGAAAGCCGATAATTTCTCTTCAGAGATATTTTTCTCAACAATGGCATGCAGTTAGGATCCTTAGCTATGGTAGTTGGCAATATGTAGTCAGGCATGCATCTTCTAGATATATCAAGCTGTAGATCCTACATTAAGACAAAAGCTGAATGAGTTCTAACAAGTTAATTTACCCAAAAGGGTTGAGTAGAGTATCTTTGGAATCCACTGGATCGAAATCTGGCTCGTCCTCTCTCGAGCTCAGAGATGATAAACTATCTTCTGCAACCATCTTTCCCTTTCCATTGCTATCGGGATTGAATTTGTGGGAACTGGTACCAACTGCAGAGCCCACATTAACATCAGCATGAGAATTGATACATAAACTACACTCTGAACAACATGCATCATCATGGGCTCGCTGGGTGCAGAACAATGCCATTGTGGCGTTCTTAACGGGCAATTTGCATGGACAACACTAGGACATTACTGCCCGTTTACCACGCCATCACAACTGTAACTCTGCGGGACGGCACCATGCCCTCCTTCTGGCATGATGTATGGAATGGGGATGACTCCATGGCAGAAAAATTACCGGAGCTGTACAGCCACTGCAGACTACAAGAGCTGACTGTCAAACAGGCGGCTGAAGGTGGCCTTCGAGACAGTCTTGTTGCTCGACGATCAACGGCAGCGACAGCGCAACTGGCTCAGGCATTGCAGATCATGGAGCAGCAGCGGCTAGGGGAGGGCAGAGATCGTCGTCAGAGTCCACTGTTCAAACGGAATGGAGACTTGGACACCTCTATGCTCTATAAGACACTGAAGACACCTGATTCCAGTCCAGATCCATGGGCATAATTCGTTTGGAACAACAAGGCGCCTCCTAGAGTGAAATTCTTTGCATGGTTCAATGCAAGACCAATCTGATAAAGAAGGGGATCATGGAAAACACAGAGTGTGACTGCGGCGGCGGAGATGCCGGCACATGTGATCTTTGGCTGTCAAGCAGCGAGACAGTTCCGGGATGCGGGAGCTCTTCCTCTCAATTAAGGAAGGAAAGAATTTTTTATGTACAAGAACACCCAGATGTTCGGGAAGCCACACCGGGCTCACACAGAGGAAACACACAAATCCCTCTCCCATGGGGGTTAATCTGTGAAAGACTAAGTCAGGTTGCTAAAGACCCTAGAGCGTATATAACTATCCTCTTTGGCTTTAAAGGACACTTGTCGAGCATCCATAGCCATATTCTGAAAGATTCTTATGTCTCTTTCCTTCCAAATATTCCACATCATGTATATCGCCACCCCGTTGAAGTGTCGCCATCGTTACCTTGGGACTGTGGCTGCCACTCGTTCCCACCATGTTTTTATTTCTGTTGGTTGGGTCTGAGGCTGGATTAGGTTAGTGTTAAAGTACTCCCATGCCAACACAAGACTCCAAACCTCTTTAGCTAGAGGGCATAGCAGGCACATGTGAAGGCTGGATTCCAATGGACCGTTGCACAACATGCAGTGATCTAGGTATGGTCAATTCCTCAGTTGTAGATTGTCTACCGTGAGGATTTTGTTCTACACTAGATCCATGCAAAGAACTTGCATTTATTTTCAGTACGTGCTTTCCAAATAAGGTCTGGGCGGAATTTCCTGAAGCTCCCTTGGAACTGTATGTGGCATGCCGAGCGAGTTGAGTATTTTCCATCGGGTGTCCATTTCCAGGCAATGGAGTCTTGTACTCCCGGTTATAGCTGAATATTCTATATTCTGATCGATCCAAGGGATACAAATTCCTCGAACTGGTCAGTGCGCTGCAAGAGATCACATGGCCACGAGTCAGCTGCGCGCGACCGTCTTACTCGGCGCACGCGCTAGGAACGACCGCGACGTGCGCGCGCTCGGAGGGGCAGTGACACGCGCTGCGGCGAGTTAGCTGCGCGCGAGGCTAGCAAGTTGGCCTGCTTCCTGGGCCACGGACTTTAGAGCCCGGTTCTCCTCTCAGCTTCATCCTAAGGCCTATTTAGCTTCTGGAGTCCAGTTTTCTACGTATGTATAAATTGATTTTCCTATCTAGTTTATTTAGGCCACTTTTTTTTCTCTAGCTTTGTTTTTCTCTTTCGGGATAGCAGGTGTGTGGGTAGTGAACGGGCGGGGGTATGGTTTTAATTACATATATAAGTAGAAGTAACAAGCTAGAACACAAAAATGGCATAAATCAACTTTGAAAGAAATAGTAGATAGAAAATGTTTAGCACGTAATCATTGGTTGGAATAGAATGCTTTTCCATTGAAAGAACAAAACTTTGAACTAGCACACAAAAAACTTTGTATTCTCAACACCGAAACTTTTGCACTTTGGACCTAAAAACTTTGTAATTAAAAAACTTTCCACATCAAAAAAATTCTATGAGATTACTTGATTGAACCGACACATAAAAATAAATTAAAAGGTCCATAAAATAGACATTCAAAGTTATCTTATAAGAGTGGACAAAACAGAGGCAACATAAATATAGTGGCGCCACATGGGCATTTACAGATAGCCCACACCATCAGGCAACTTCTTAAAATGAAATTTGAAAAGGATTAAACCTAGATAATGCCAAAAGGAAGGCTGAACCTTGATATGACAAATCAGTACCTATGACCCAAAGATCCGATGAATATTTAGCACTATTGGTTCCAACGACATAAGAATCTTACATAACAAAGTGAGTGCACAGGCAACCCATGGGGCACAAACTGAACAAGTATACATGGCATGCTTCCTGTCTACATGCTTTGCAAAGGAGTAATATAGGCAAGCATAGCTCGAAACAAGTCTCTGCATTTTAAAATTAATTGGAAAAGAAATATGCAGGCAAGCATACGTCCAAATATATAGTCTTTAATCCGAGAATGATGAAGCATATCTCAAGGGTTGTGTTGCTGTTCAGAGTGAGCAGCGCTCCTCAGAGACCTGGTGGCCTCCCTGCAAGTATCATCAAGAATTAAAGCCAGCAATAAAAGAGATTCCTTTTTTAAAGAATAGTGCATTGCATAAAAGCTGACCTGATCTCTTCACTTGTCGGTTCAAGCTCCAGTGCCTCCATGAAAGCATTAGCTGCTCCTTTCTGGTTCTTTGAATAAAAAGATACTGGTGAGATCCAATTTGAGTTTGCAGGGGACTGTTTAGTGGAAGAGTGCGCTGCTAAGTAAACTAAAAATTTCTAGGCTACATGTATGTGCAGCAGCAGTGCAAGGCACTGAATCACAACGAAGATCCATATAACACATCCAATTTCTCTCTATTGTTCTCATTTTAGTTCTACATGTCTAACAATGAGTATAAGTAATTCATGGCCTCCTCCTTTACTACTTCCCAAAAAGCATAGGGCATACGTTAACATATCAAAAGTCTTCTAGCAGAGCGACATGCATTCATATATATCAAAATTCAGCACCAATTATTGTCCATGAAAGGAAGAAATTTAATTATACTACTTTACTTCTGAAATGTCCTTGTTTGGTTTTAGTAATTGAGTGACAACCTAGGTGGACTAATATAGGATTATGTTGAGATACACAGGAATTAGCCCACAGGTACACTAGAGTGAGCAACTTGAGCCATGGAGGTGGAGATGGCTTGGATATGTTGAAATGCTCACCTCATTGTCAAAATGAAGGAGCTTATTGCATATGAGACATGATGTGGAGTCATGTGGCTAGGTGGAGAAAATCAAGACAAGGCTTGGCGTCAATGGACTGGTTGTAAGTGTGAAGGGCATGTCGGAGGCTTTGGAGCGACACACCGCACGTGGCGGAGAAGCTTGAGCAAGAACTTGGCACCGATGGACAAGGGCAATGGTGAAGAGCAAGTGATGTTGAGATCGATGAACCAATAAGGTCACATGATATGAAGAGGATCATACATTCATGTGGGATCAAGCCATGCAAGACTTGTGATGATTACAAGTGGCTTGATGGTGGTTGGTGCTTGTGTAGCATCAACATTGGAGGAGATGAAATGGAATGCGCAAGGCAAAGGTATAACTTGTAGGGCATTTCATTTTATCGGTCAAAGGTTACGTAGAGAAGTGCATGACTGGGTTTAGGATAGATGGGCGTACTATTAAGATGGGTAAACTTGTTTGCATATCGGTCATCTAGTGCCACTTGAGCGATCTAACTTTGCATGCAATGCTAGGATCGAGTGGCGTGGAAAGAGCAAGTGAAATTCCTTTGAAAAATGATTGTGAAAAGCTAATACATGTGCATAAGGTGGTGGTTCACTTGGTGGTGTTGGCACATTTGAAAAGGAGAAGAAGAGCTTGTTGGGCTGCTGTCTCAGAGTGGTGGACTGTCTGGCTCTCTGTGGCGGATTGTCTACCGGTCGGCGCTGTTGTTGCGTGAGCACTGGTGTGCATGATGTGCACTGATTGTGCATCCACCAGTGATGACCGGTGCTACTTGGCCAAGCATGCAGGGATTTCAAAACCGAGCACCAGTGTGGTAGGTGTACACTAGTCGAGTCACACCGGTGATGACCGGTGATGACTAGCCGAGCGTGTGTCTTAGTACGCCGAGACAAAGCGGGCTCGACTAGAAATTTATCTAGTCTGAACTAGAATGTTTACTATGCACTGGTCGTGTCAGGTGTGACACCGGTTGCCACAACGGTGAGGTGATCCAGATACCATGTAATTCTCAGGTTTGAGATCGACAGTGCACCGGTGGTCACCGGTGTTGTGACTAGTGTACACAAGTCTTCTGACACATAGTGATAGCTAGTTTTCTAGCTGTTAGAGCTGACCGTTGAGTGTGCACCAGTGGTGACCGGTGCAGGTGACCTGTGCCCCCTCAGGCAACCAGTGCACCCACAGTTTGGATGCTTTTTAGCCCAACGACTAGTTGGCATTTGTGGGCTATATAATAGAGGGGTGTTTCGGCCTTGGCTGAAGTTGAGCACCTTGGGGGACTTAGTTTCCATGCTTTAGAGTGCTTGGGAGCCCTCTATCTCACTTGTGCTTGCAAGAGTGCAATCCAATTGCGAGTGAGTGATCGCTAGTGCATTCAATTGAGAGATTGCATCGATTGGCACTAGGTGATCGAGTTGCAAGCCAGTGGTGCTTGTTACTCTTGGAGGTTGCCACCTCCTAGATGGCTCAGTAGCTATGGTCTCCATCGTGAAGCCCGCAAGAAGCTTGTGTGTGGCTTCGGAGAAAGGCTTGTGAGGGGTGTTGTTGTCGCCCCATGGTAGACGCGAAGAGCAACTCTAGTAGAATCGTGGTGCGAAGAGCGTCAAGTGGTATGGCTGGGTCGAGTGCTAGAGCTCGTGGTAAGCACTCCATGTGGGAGAGTGTGACTTGAGGGTCACTAGTAGCAAGAGGACCGGTGACAACCTTGAGCTTGCCTCAACGGGGAGTAGGTGGTTGGCAAGCCACCGAACCTCGGGATAAAATCTCCATGTCAAATTTGTTCATCCTGTTGGTTTGCTTACTCCCAACACAAGCTTGCTTTACTAATTCATATATTGTGCTTGTGTTGTTGCTCTTGCGTAACTAGTTGTCTTGTGTAGATTGCTAGTTGCTCTCTTTACTTGTGTGGCATAGTTGTAGCTCCCATGAGTAACTAGTTGGCTTGAGTAGCCTTGCTAGTTACATTGTTTAGTTTGTGTAGCTAAGTAATTGTTGAACTCTCTAGTTTGGCTTGTGTCACCTTGCTATTGATTGAGTAGTGCTAGTGAGCTTAGGCTTTGTGCGCTTTGCATACTAGCATGTGTAGGAGTTCCCCAGTTGTTTGAGTACTAGTTACATAGGTTTGTATGACCTTGCAAACTAGAATTGTGTAGGTGAGCTCTACCTAGCCCAACACCTTAATTTGCTCAATTAGAATCTTTTGTAAGATGCTTGAGAACTTAGATAAAGGGGTGTAGACTTGTTATCATGAACATAGCTTTAGAAAATGAGATGGCAAAACCAATGAAATTGGAAAAATAAAAACTCATTTGTAAAGAATGCATGTGAACAACAAAAGTATCTACTTTATGTTATTACTTGTTCACATGAGGAGCTAAAATTGACTCATGAGGAACTTAGTGTTGCTCATGATAACTTGGTACAAGACCATGTTTTTCTCACTAACAAGTTTTCCATAGAAGAAACTAAAACTAGTGGAGCTCATCACATGGATTAGATGATCAATTGCATAATATTGCTAACCCTTGTGATGTACGCAAGAAGCATGTATCCACCTCTTGTGATGATTTATTAGCTATGCCATATTCTTCATATATAGATACCCCTCTTGTGTGTCGGGGGATGCTCCTTGTTTCCTAGTGCATGGGTCAGGACGTCACTCTCCCTGTTCGATTGGATATTCTCTTGGACAGTCTCATCATGGAGTGCGGCAACCCTATCGTCTAGCTGATGCATTGGTTGGCTACTCCCTGGTGCAAGTGAGCCGTCGTCGTTGTAGGATGCCCCCCTCGATAAAAGGAACCTCTTCGATCGGGTCTCGCATGCCTCACTCTGATGATGAGTGAAGGACACCATGGCAACCACGTCAAATTGAGCTACCCAACATCGTCTGGGCCAGCATATGCAACAAACTCAGGTGCCCGGGCATCGCTATCAGCACACCCAACCTTTGGTGTGGCTTCATCTTGACAAACATTCTTCTAGTACCTCTCGTGTGCATCATTTTGACTAAGATTAACGAAATGTGTATGTGGAGGACTCTCCCATAAAAGAACACACATATATGGATACTATATATATTATACATAAATGTGGAAAAACATTTTGTGGATATACCCAAGCATCTTGCATACAATTAGTCGGTGTATGTGGGTTGGGGTGGGGTGGGGGGGGCGCTGATCGAACCCAATTTTGGTCGTTAGCACACCGCTTTTATAACCTAAACCAATGGTGGTAGGTTGGATCAACGGTAGAGAATCAATGTTGTGATAGTTAGGTGGATCCAACGGCAAAAAAATAATGACCGACCACATCAAAACCGACACTGATATCTTAAACTCTTATAAAGCAAAACCCCACTAGCCTATTTTTCTCATTCCACATCCCTTCACGTCATCGTTCCCTCCTGGCCCACGCATTTACCTCCACCTCATGACATGTAACAGAAATAGCTTATCGGGAACATCATTTGTCTTCAATTTCCATTTTCACCTCTATTGTTAACCGATGGCACCAATAATTTATTCCTAGCACTTGGTGTCATTAACTCAAGCATAATTTATGTAGAATCCTTTTCTATTCTACTGCTACATGCATGCAACATGCACTGACAATTTATTTAATTTCCATCCTGCCTTTCTATTCTATTGCTACATTCATGCTGCATGACAATTCATCGTGCCTTTTCATGGTTTACGTTTGATGTTCACATTCTATCTACTATTACACATGCAACATGCAATTCCACTCCTCCACTAACGCATGGCCATCTGTCATTATTTTCCACTATAATACTTCATTCAGCTTCTCAGTCTATATATATAGTGCTACACACAGAAGGAAGGGGGCAAACCACAGGCAAATGCTTAGAGCTTATGTTTCTTCTTCATGTTGGTTTAAGAGTTTTGAAGGTGTGAGATCGATAATTCTACTTTTGTGCTGAATGGTTCATTTTTTTCACTGTTGTTTCCCAGGGCCAAAATTAGCACAAGGAGAAGTACCTTGCCCACACATGTTGCAGCATGTCAGGAACATTATGATAGATATGTTTGTAAGAGTTTTCAACAGTTAGTGTTTCTTCCACATCACTTTTCGTATCAATCCTGTTGGGTCATTTCATAGTTATAATTAGCTTCAGCCCCGTGGAATTATTTGACTTATTTGACATTGATCTTCATGTATATGTACTACTTTGATGGATCAACTCACCTGTAATACTATAGGGTTTTATTTCACTTGTGTGCAAGTCGATAATGGCATTCTAAGGTACCATTTTCATGAAATTCTAAAGCAGTTTCTTGCATGATTAATTCATTTGTCATTCATAAGACATCACTTTCTAAATACCCGTAGCAACGTGCATCACCTAGTTCAACATGTCACTACTGGCTGGTCATTTGACCTGGAAGTGAAATATCACCGCCGGTTCATGGTTTCACCTGCCATGAATAGTGTCCATCACTGCCGGTTCATTAACTTTCTTTCTAGCACCCTGTTCGTTTGGGTTGATTTGGCTTATAAGCCATAGCTGAAAGTACTATTGGCTGATCTGGTGTGAGAGAAAAATACTATTCATTGGCTGATAAGTCATGACTTATAAGCCAGATAGTAGCAAGCGAGGCTATCCTTGTGTCACTCTCGGCTTCAGCACACCCGACATGTCACGTGCAATTTCGAAACCAATACATTCCCACCCTGCCGGTCTCTGCCCCCTCGCTGTGTCCCAGCGAGCCGTGCAAGACTCAACAGGCATTCATCGATGTGAGAGTCCGTTTTGTTTATACTAGCTCTACCGTCTAAATGAAATTCTAATTATTTCCTTACTTATTCTAAAATTTGACCATAATGATAATATCGTTAGTATCTATCATCCAAATAGCATACTATGAAAATATATCTTATAACGAATCTAACAACACTTATTTAATATTAAAAAAAATATCTGTTGCTCAAATGTGGACTAGGCCCAGTTTGGACCCTGTTAATTTTCACTTGTAGCTAACACACATTTTTAGTATTGATTTGTTTAGATTCACTTTAGCTAATTCTTACTCTTGTTTTAATTTGTAGTTCGCATTGGTTTTGTTCTAAATAAAACTTCTTTAACTTTTACTAAAATGGTAAGAAAATACACAAATCTCTATAACATATATCAACTAATTTAGCAACCAAATCCTATCATTGATTTCGCTGACATCACGTGGGTCTGCTTCGTACAATAGACAAACTCCCTTCGTCATATAATACTTGACGTTTGTTCTTTCTCACGAAGACTAATGCGTAACATAAAAAGATTAAATGTCTCTCAAAAAGTAATAAGGTAGAGATGTGAGAAATGTATTGAAAAAGAGAAAGGTGCATTGGGAAGAGAAAACATAAAGTATTTGGAATAAAATTGAACTGCTCTAAGGCCATCTATTTTGTGAAGGAGGGAGTACACAGTCCATTGATTGGTAGGATTAAGAGCCCCGGAGAGAGAAGCGTCAATCGAGCTAGAGTAAAGTATATTGCAGAAAAGTAGGTGAGGTGAAGTGAAGTGAAGTGGAGCAGGCTTTGTCTGGTCCCGTTCCCATCCCATGTGTTCTTCGTTGACGGGTGTTCTCCATGCGCTTCTAAAATTTACGTCACATCAAATATTTAGATATAAATAAAAAGCATTAAATATAGATTAATTATAAAACTAATTACATAGATAGAGGCTAATTTTCAAGACGATTTTTTAAGCCTAATTAATATGTCATTAGCACATGTTTACTGTAGCACCACATTGTCAAATCATAGACTAATTAGGCTTAAAAAATTCGTCTCACAAATTATGCAATTAGTTTTGTAATTAATCTATATTTAATACTCTATACATGTATCAAATATTCGATGTAACAGGAATTTTAGAAGAATGTGTAGTAACCAAACAGGCCCTATGAACGAGAGGCTTGCACTCCAGTGCTGTTCATAGTCCCATTCCCATCCTGCCATCCATGATAAAGACTTGACCCCAAGACACATCAGCGCATGATCATTGACAAATCACCCACCACAACTGCTCGGACATAGTAGATCGCACGAGCAAAAAGTGCCACACTACTCCCACTCAGAAATCATCTCATCCAATTCCACTTCCACACACCATGTCCATCTCCATGTCTGTGGAGATCCCCATGGATCAGCCGATCTCCAGTTCCACCCCACTTCCGGCAGGCGCCGTCTGCGATGTGGTCGACGAGGACGAGGCGGCGCCGCCACCGGCCAATGCTAGGCCCACGCGCGTCCTCATCTCGCCCATCGTGCCCCTCCCCGCTGACGGCGGCGCTTCGGCTGATGCTGCTGCGCTGCCGCCGGCGTACACCGGCGTGCTGTACCTGCACCGCCACAAGTGGCCCGCCGTGGAGGACGACCCCGGCAAGAAGCGGGAGAAGTGGTTCAAGGAGATGCGCGGCTGGCTCATGGTGCTCGCCGTGCTCGCCGCCTCCGTCACCTACCAGGCGGGGCTCAACCCGCCCGGCGGCTTCTGGCAGCAGGACGACGCGCAGGGCAACGTCGCCGGCACGCCCGTGCTCCAGTCCAAGTTCCCCAAGCGGTAGGCAACTCATCATTAACTGTGATTTGCACAAACAAAACAGACCAATGGCTGTCTCTCTGCAGGTACACCGTTTTCTTCTACTTGAACTCCACGGCGTTCGTGACGTCGGTGGTCATCATCGTCCTCCTCATGAACGAGTCCTTCTACCACTCGGAGGCCAAGGTGGAGGCGCTGGAGATCATCGTCGTGCTAGACATGGCGGGCCTCATGGGCGCCTACATCGCCGGCTGCACCCGCGAGGTGTCCTCCTCCATCTACATCATCGTCCTCACCCTCGTCGTCTTCCTCTACGTCGTCTACACGGCGCAGTTCCTGCCCAAGCTCTGGGGCCTAGTCGTTGACGTGCCCTTCCTCCACAGAGCGGCCCAGGGCGGCGCGCTGCCCGTGCCGCAGAACATCCTGGACGGGGCCAGGCCGCGGACCGACGTCATCGGCCGGACCAAGTCGGCGCCGCCGCGTTAGCCGTTTTGGTCATCGCAAATAGAAATAGCCGAGCTGCAGAGGAATGAATCAGGAGCGGTCATGTTCAATTGCCCTACAATGACTTGAAGAACACAAGCTATTATCAACACTTAAAAGGCATGGCTTTATAATTACACAGTAACATTAAGATCTAAGCAAAACATTGATATATAAGCTCTGTTGTATCTGGTTTGAACACATAGGAAAATCTTTCTTTCCTAAATCAATATTTTCCAAACCCAAATAATCCAAGCTACACATTAAGGACAAATACACCATTACAAGAAATCATTAGTGAGAACGATCACATGGCTGTCATCCAGATTCGGAACTTAATACATCTGTCATTTATCCCCACTTGATCTCGCACATGAAGGTCACAAATAGGTCATGAGGGCCATACACTATACATATAGCCATTGCATCCTGGTAGTTCATCAAATGATGCCTCTTGTTCTAGTAAAACTGGTAGGCACGATCACTCTACTCTACTGCCAACAAAATCAACATTAGTGAGACCCATATGGCTATACATCCTCTTTCTGCAGCTAGGAGTAACATGGAAACCATTAAGCTCATTAAGCACATGTAAAAATATGTGTCCAAGATCAAGATATGTAATCAGATTAATGAAGTAACACAATCAATCATGTGCTGTCTCATAGGTTCAATAGCATTAGACTTATAATATACTATCCTAAGTCCTAACCAAGACCACAACCAACTTTGGGTTCAAACAGGTGGAAACATGTGCACAGGGACATGTAGAAACTGATGTTCTACTGACAAATCTTTTTGCAAAGGCAAATATAGTCAAATTATATGGCAATGACCACAAGTAGTAAGCCAAACTGAACATTCTGAACTTCATGAGGAAAAAGGCTACAGCTTCAGGTTCGGTCTACTCCAAATAGACAACACTACAAGAGTAAAAAAACTCTATGAAGCATTGAGACTAACCTCGTCTTTGGCTAGTAGCACACTGCAGAACCATATTCTTTTTATGTGCCTAGGAGTGACCTGAAAATCACCAAGCTCACGTATTTAGAATACATATAACACATGACCATGATCAAGATATCTAATCAGACTATAACCCATAGCAGCGAGCCAAACCGATTACCATCACTCAACAAAAAACCAAAGATCATACCACATGTGTTATCCGAATGCAGCCAAAGATGCATGCAACTAAGTTCAGCTTAAATTAGGAGGGAAACTATTGCGTAGCCCCATACTGGATATTTATTATTTTTAAAAAACAGTAAAGTTTGTGAGGACCATGCTAGATAGACACACAAGACAAAACCAGGATGTAAGGACCACAAATCATAATCCCTTAGGGACACACAGAATCGTGGATACAATATGAAAAAAAAAACCTTCAGCATACAGGAGTCCATATGATTATATCGATCTAAAACACATGTCCCATACTGCCACTGCTAGCTAAGCATCCATAATTTCACCCATACAACAAACAGGGAAGACAAACTTGTTATTAGGATCCAAATATCAGTATAATGCTACTCTATTAAATAAATAAATTTGTCGATCGTAAATCACTATAAGGTTATTTCTTTATCTTGCTGTTTTCTGCATAATAGTAAAGTATTATTCTGATGATTGACAACATCAAATGAAGGGCGGGCCTGGTGTAAGCGGTAGAGTCTTACCGCCTGTGACCGGAAGGTCCCGGGTTCGAGTCGCGGTCTCCTCGCATTGCACAGGCGAGGGTAAGGCTTGCCACTGACACCCTTCCCCAGACCCCGCATAGAGCGGGAGCTCTCTGCACTGGGTACGCCCTTTATTGACAACATCAAATGAAATGTTACCTTCATGTTCATTTGGAAGTTTTCTTCACTGATGTATGCACCTTGTACCCCATCCGGCCTTGACCTCTAAAATAGTGCCCCTTGGTCTTCTAGTCAACAGCCTTCAGCAAATCCTTGTTGTCACTGGCAGGTACCAGGCGCTGAGCTTCCTCTCTCTCTGGCATGGTTCTAACGTCAAGGTAGGTAGAGTGGTGCTGCTGCACTTCAAGCAAGGAAGAGGCAGCTGACCTCCGAGCCCACATCAGCCTAGGCGAGCTCAGCAGTGATTGCTACCACGCCACTCCTACCTTGGCAGATCGCTACCAAAATGGCAAGGATCTGCAGTGATTTTGTGCACATGATAATATACATCAATAAAAAAATCATGCCCTTTATCTTAAATTTTGGATGCCGTGCATTGTTTATGAGAAATATGACCGTGGAACTCAGGAGAAAGAACTGCCCTACCTTTTCAGAACCATACTCTGTACTGGCATGTTGTCTTCCTCTACTGCTCCACATTTGCATTTAGTCTAGCAATCTCACTAAGCAGCCATCTTTATTCTGAAACACTCAATCATGGCAATGTAAGTAAGGATAGATTATTGGGTTTGCTACCATGGTATGCAAAATAGTATTTTACATAAATTTGTTATGTTAATTCAGAGTATTTCAAGCCATGCAAGACAATACCTTAGCAGTGAAATACACAAAGCATCTCCAATCACAACTATGCCTAAATATATGACATAGACAAACAAAACAATTTCTCATCTTTAGCAGTATTGTAGGTAACAATAGCTCATCTCCAACATTGCATTATCCTAGGCTGTATACAAATCGGAGTGAGGGAGAGGAAGGCCTCACCTTGATGGCTGGCAGGGACTGTAGGGGGGCGGTGTCGGCAGCCTAGTGCAAATCGATGACGAACGGTGGCAGCGGCTGGGGGACAGAGATCCAATGCCTCCTGCTGTTTGGCCATGCTCTTCTGCAACCTTCATCAGTGGCACCAGATCTGAGAGACTAAGAAAGAGAAGTGAAGATAGATAAAAAAATTGCAGCGCACCTCACCTGGCCCGCTTCGTCGCTGAGACGTCAAGTTCCATCGCCACGTTGAGGACCCAAGCGCCACCGTGGATTCCGGCCATAGATCCCACTGCCCTCGCCGAAGCAAAAGAGACTGCTCCCTGACGCGTTGTATGGAGGAGGTCGTCGCATCTGTGGATGCGCTCGTGGAGGAGGCGGTAAGCTGGTAGCCATGCGCGGCCATAGGTGAGGGGTCCACTTGCTCTCCCACGCCCTAGAGGTCGTCCGGCTTCCCATGCTCAAGCGACGACAGTGCTCGTACCGGCATGGAGGCGGTGCGGGGAGGAGAGGACAGGGAGGAGCCAGCGCCGCCTCCTCCTCCGCCGACCATGACCACCGTGGGGCCTGATAAGGTTCGCCCGATCTGCGCGCCTCCGGATCTCGCGTGCCTCTGCGCCCTCCACTGCGCAGCGAGGGCACGCAACTTCCTTGCTTGAGCGATGACCGTGTGGAGGCTGCGTAGGGAGGAGAGGACAGGGAGGGGCGGAGGTGGTGGTGGCGGCGCCGGCGGCGGCGGCGGGGAGAAGAGAGAGGGATCGGGAGGTCAGGCCAGGCTGCGGTGCGGGGTGGGAGCGCGGGGTTTCTGTAAAGTTGCGAGGGTGTTTTCGAAATAACGACTCGATTTTAGAATTTTACCTTCTTTGCGTTACTTTAGGGGTCTATTCGAAACATATAAGAACATGTTTACTATTCTGGGCGGACGAGTTGGACGGTGGATTGATTTTCTAAAACTCAGAGGGCCTTTATGTAAAACGTGTGAAGACGCGTGTCAGCATATGGATGAGCCACGGATGCTCGAATTCTGTGGTGGCAGCGGACTCAAGTGGGTTTTAATCGGCCTCGATTATACTGGTATATTTCCTAGATCAGAGCTTTGCCACATATGCCACTACAACGAACTGTGCCGGCCGCCCTTTTCCTAGTTGTATGTACCAGACTTACTACCAGATTACCAGTATTATGATTTTCATGCTACGTAGCAAGTAGCTTATTAATTCTGTGTGGCCAAGTCATGTATTAGATTTTCTTTCCTGTTCGGCTGTTGGGGTAATAACAGTAATTCTTGGGTCAGGGCGTCGGTGCACGGACGCTTGCTTGCTGGCTTGCGAACCGGCCCAAGCAACCTGTCCGTGGCAAATGTCACACATGGCCCTGTCTCCACCGCACACCGCTCCTCCCTCACAGCCTTAGAGTCACAGGCTCCAGCCTACTGCGTCCAGACCTGCACTCAGAGGCCTCCCGCACAGTCTCGCCTCTAGCAATGATGCTCGCTGCCACGCGCTTGAGTCCGCCCAGCTCCTCCTACTCGTCCCACTTCCTTCTCCTCCCCGCATCGCGCCATCCGCCCGCCGCGGCTGCTCCACCAAGCCAGCGAGCCTCCATGACGGATACTCTAGCAAGCAGGTGAGGGGAGGAGCTTCGTGTGACGTCACCCCGCCGGCGAGTTGCCCATGCCGCTGTCGCACTGGCAAGGTCCATGTGCCACAGCCGACCTCCATGCCAGCGTTGAGCTCTGCAATGACGAGACTTCATTCGTTCAAGCAGCAAGGTGACATTCCGCTGAAAGTGCATGTTGCAGGCATATGTTTCAAGTGTTTCAGATGTTTCAGAGGTATGTTGCAAGTATTTTATATCGATGTTGCAAAAGTGGATCGGGATGTTGCTCATGAATGGCTATACACGCATGTTTCAAATGTATGTTCCAAATATTTTATCTGTTTCCGAGTATGTTGCAAGTGTTTCATTTAGGTGTTACAAAACTAGATCAGGATTATGCATATATAGGGCCTGTTTGACATGGCTCCACTTCTAAACTCCAGCAACTCCATCAAAAAATCCAGCCAAACACCCCAACTCCAAAACTCCACGAAGGTGCCAACTCCATGGAGCTGTAGTGCAAATGGAAGAGTTTTGGAGCACCTCTTTTGCTGCTCTAGAACCCTCTCTTTTGAACCTCCTCGTGGAGTTGATGGATAATTACCCACCAATGCCACTGATTATATGGAAAAAACGTTTCGCTTCTATGCTCCGAGTCTCCCCCGAAAAACGTTTCGCTTCTATTCGCATCCCTTCTTCCCAGTCCCGCGGCTCTCTCGGTCA